AGAAATCAGAGTGATAACTAACACCAGTCCATGGCTTTTATCTTCGCTTTGCAGAATATGCAAAGAGAGGGTTCCGTAGGGCTTGAACTGAAACAGAATTACATGCAACCCTTGAAATGTATTTTAATGTCATTAGATTGAAGTCCAAGCATAATCTGAAGAAGTTGATACACTATTTCACCTTTTCTCCTTCAGACAGTAGCACATAGCTCTTCACTACACTGCATACAAAAAACACTATTACCTCATCTTTTCGTGATTTATGCCTCAGTTCCTCCATTTCTTTCGAATTGCATTTGAATTTGATAATAAGGAATCTTCTGTAACCAAGTCTATAACAATCCCTTTTTCCAAATACTTTAGAAGGAACTACTAAACACACAAATATTTCAAGGACTAATCATTAAAGGTATTAAGATGCTCCCTCTGAATTTTCCCTCTGAAGTACCAATCGTTGCTTCTAGATTTGTAGTTAGAACTCCAATTTTACAGTAATGTAAAAATCACATACAGTCCTAAATTGTAAATTTCCATCTTTGGTTATCTACAGTCTTATATCTAGCAATAAAGTAAAAACTTACTTATGCCTTCTTCATGCCTCAACTTGAAAACAGTTAAACACATCTAACAAAGAATGCTTTCTACCCCACTGAGCCTGAGCCCTCCAAAGAAATTTAACATAGATGTAAGCTCAAGGCAACTTTCACAAGAAGTGACTATAAACTGCAAAGCCAAGCAATTTCCCGAATAAGTTGCTGATGTATGCACTCATGAGTTGTCATTTACCTCTGTAATAATCAAGGAGTAATATTTGAATTTTTTTAACATTGACATCAAATGTATAATACATGTTAACTTGAATGACTACATTCACATATTGTACAGTGAATATGAATTACATCAAAGCATTACAAGGTGATAAAATGAAGGCAATAAAATTCCAGAATCTCTGCAAAACAAGTACAGCTAGATACTTCGTGGCAAGTTAATAAAAGTAAACAAAATTCCAATTTGATATTGATTTAATATCAATAGCCTAAACATACTTCTAACTTCCAAGAAGAGACAAACATAAAAGAAGCCTACAAAAGTAAAATTAGAAGTTCCACTTTGTAGGACTCCTTCCCCAAGACATCCCCAAGCTGATGGAAGTACTGAAAGGATTATATTATAATATTATAATATCAAAAGAAGCATTAGCAGCAGGTCGAAGGAGGTGATTCTCCCCCTCTGCTCTACTCTTGTGAGACCCCACCTGGAGTACTGTGTTCAGATGTGGGGACCCCAACATAAAAAAGACCTATACCTATTGGAGCAAGTCCAGAGGAGGGCCACGAAACTGGTCAGAGGGCTGGAGCACCTTCCAGATGAGGACAGGCTGAGAGAATTGGAGTTGTTCAGCCTGGAAAAAAGGAGGCTCCAAGGAGACTTAATAGTAGCCTACCAGTACCTGAAGGGGGCTACAGGAGAGATGGGGAGGCACTCTTTATCAGGGAGTGTAGTGATAGGACAAGGGGTAATGGGTATAAGCTGAAAGAGGGCAGATTTAGACTAGACATTAGGAAGAAACTTTTCACTGTGAGGGTGGTGAGGCACTGGATTCTATGATTCTATGATCCTAAGATTAATTATTCCTCCTTGAATATGCTTCCAATCTTATACAGCAAAAAAATTTAGTGGCATCTCATGCTGATTTAGTACAGACATGAGAGTTAACTTGGTACTATCTACACTTCTAAGAGGAGGACATCTACAAATTTAAAGATAATACAGAGATTACCTGTCTACGATCCTGTCACATAGAATAGAAGGGACAGGTGAGAAAGCCACTACAATGTACTGGGTGGTTTAGCCACTGGAAAATGCTGCAGAGGAGATGTCACCATCTCACCCAGCAAACAGCCTCAGGGCTGTCAGAAAACAACTAACAGGAACCATAATCATTACCAGCTAAGCAAACATAGCTTTGTCTGATAGCAATATGGAAGACAAGCACCCTGAGGTCAAGAGCTGTAAGCCAATTTTCCTCCTGATTGTTCAGCATCATCACAGGCAGGTTCACCTGAAACCAAGCTGGCACACAGTACTGTGAACAGTATTAGTCACTGTAGCCCTTTTTGCTTTAGAAAAAAAACAATGGTTAAACCTTCCCTTAAAAAAAAAAAAAAAAAAAAAAAAAAAGCAAGTTGCATTACTAATTATACATTCCAGAGCTAAGTGCGACACAGCATATAAAATATTTTAAAGCCTTATTCCTTCTAAAATAATATTACCTTTAGGAACCTGCTTGTAACTTCTTCTGAGACAGTGCATCTACAACTCAAGTACACATTTGGCTGGCAACCTAAAAATGTTACTGAGCAAAATATTTTAAGCAAGTTCCCAGAGAAAATTCTAAATCAAACTAAAAATGTGGGTTAAACTAGATTATTTCAGAGGACCTATTGAATGTGAACTTATCTGTAAAGGCAATGACTGTTAGACACCACTCGAAAACATTCAGTACAGAAAAGTTGTAGACAAATACTTAAAATAGTTGTACCAAGATATTTTTAGTCACAGCAATGCAGAGAAAAATAATAGAAGGAACATTAAAAAAAAATGGTAAGAATGGTTTGGGGAAAAAAGCTACAGATGCAATAAGGAGATGTATCATCTTTAACAGTTTCCTTCTCCATATGGGGACTAGATTAGAATCTTTCACAGATTCTGCTCTCCCATCTTCCCCAGGAAAAGGATGTCAACCTATGCCAGAACATCCACAATACACAAAACCTGGCTCCAAGTCCTGACTGAATCAGGCTGCAGATTTGTAAAATTACCTCCTACATCAAGAAAAAACAGGATCATCAGAGGATATTTTGAGTAGATGTGACTAATAGCAAACAAAGTCTTTCCTCAGAAGCACCTTCCATGAGAGGTGTAATTAATTGTTTTTCAAAAATAACCTCCATTTGAAAAAGACAACAGCTTTACTAAAAGCTTCCATTTATTCAACTCCAAGGAACCAATCTTCCTGCCAGTGCTGGCAGATGGGAAAGTATGAGTTTATGGAATCAGGCCCAAAAAAGACCAGGTTTTATAAGAGATTAAAATATTTTCACTTAATAATGCAGTAAGTAAAGAACAATGCAACACAGATGAAACAACAGGTGTGAGCTAAAACATAAATTATGCATTTATGATCATTACATGAATATACGAAAATTATAAAAACTTAGGTACACCTAAGATTATTTCAAGGAACATTAATGAGGAAATCACCTATTGGACAGAAATATCTAAGTTCAGTGACTAAGTTTCAAGAAGAGCTTGGACCCCATTGTGAACACAGGTTAGCAGACTTCCAACTTCTCTGTCATCATCTTCATCTACATAATTGAATACAATCACATTACCATCAATCTCAAGAAGGTAAAAATTATATTACCCACATAGCACAAACTGTGCCATTTGTTTGTGAAAAGCCCCAACTCATTTCCATCTCTCTCTTTACATATCGTATTCTCTAACTTCTGCCTGACATAACTAATGCTAAGTTAACTATAACAGCTGCTTATATACTTATCCTACTGTATCACTAATGGCTGTTATCATACGTTATTTACAAAGTTATCTTATTGCAAATACCATCCCTGGGGCCACTAAAGATGTGGAGCACTAGATCCATTTAGGTTCTTGGATACCCTCATGAGAACAGGCATTAGAATTGCACACAAAATTCCAGATCTGGTCCAAATCACTAATTGATAGCAAAGTGGAACACTTCTATATCCACTTTTAAACTGTGTTTATTGCTGTGACAAGATGATGATGTTGCAATACTGAATATACACACACACTGCTACCTATTCTGAGTTACCAATTTTCAAATGGCTGCTGTATCCAATTACATTTCCTATACACACACTATATTTAAAATTCCTTCTTTACCAAACCTGGAATAGTTTAGGATTTAAAATTAATTTTGTTGTATAATCGCTGCTCTCATCTTGCTAGCCCCTTGAAAATGAGCTCACTTTACCACATCATTTACCCTGCCAAATGCAGTACTGTAAAGAAGGGGTTAATGCTCATCTTCTACCTTTAACCTTTAAAGTATCAAATGAACAGGAATTCCCACTACTGACCTGACCTTGCACTACTCCAATTTGATTCTATTTCAAAGCACTAAAACTACTTTCCTTATATGACTAAATGTTATACAAGAATATCAACTGGCTGGTGGTTTCTTACATCATTCTACAACTTCAGGAAACCCAAGTGCTTACCTTAAATGTCTGTCTAGCTACAGGCAATGTAGCACAGGCAAGACACCCGCCAAAGGTCCCTATAAGCCTTCCAGAAACTAGCTAGGCAACTTCAGAGGAGTTGCTTCTCTAGGTGTCTAACACTCAGGTTGGGGTATCCATTTCAGGCAGGCAAACCTGTTCATTCAGATTGAGTTTTGACCTCCTTGAAGTCAAGTCAATATATCTTAAGAGCTAGACAGGAATTTTTTTTTTCTCTGTTGAATGAAAGGATTGGTGAGGCAAATTTTTCTTCTCAATAAGAAAAGCATTTTATTGTTATATTCTAGTCAACAGCAGCACTAATCTGTGAGGTAACATTTTCTTGAACAAATGGGTATTTTTCTTTATGTTTTTGCTTGCAAAATTGAAGGTTCAGCCGTCATTTGAGCCTATTTCGAAGTACGTTTTGCTACTATCACCTAGCAGAATTAGAGCACAAGTAGATCTAACGTACCTGACTGCTAAAGCACTGTCTACTCACATATGGTCACTGCAAGATTCGTATATTCAAATACAGACTTTGAAGATATTCAAGCTTATATTTACAGAGCCAATTATAAGAATTCTATTTGTACGATGTATATTTCTATTATCAATAGAAAATTGCATCTCAAAGGTCTTTGTAGTATCAGCAGTTTTATTCTACTTCTTATTTATGAAGCATGCCAATCTGTCAGCTTAAAATAGTATATTAACATAGTTAACTACCTGCGGGTCCGTGGAGGCTTTGGTGGAGGAGAATCCTGTTTCTCAGCATCTGAAGAACTGACAGCATTCTCTGTGTTATTTTCATCCTGATTAAAAGAAAATGTTTTCATTCATGGCTGTAAAGCTGATACACACAATACTTCAACTGTAAAGTCCAAAGATCTATCATGATACTTGAAAATAATGTATGAGAATATTACATCTTTTTGACTACTATATAAAGATCACTTTCAAAATTACATGCAGATTAAATTCTACTCTAAATTCATAATATTTTATATTTTGTGCATCCAACTTCAAATTTTTGATGACTAAACATTTTGTTTTCAATGCAACTGTATAATCCAGAAAATTCTCAAAAGCTAATCTTTCAGACTACTAGTGAGCACACTCCCTTATGATCGCCAAATCATTCATATTGAAAGCATTTATTTTCCAGTCAGTTTAATTATTTTCACTTGTACAATCAGTCCACTGAAGATAAGACTAATCCACAGTGCAGTAAGAAAATGAGAATTTCAGCTACTGTAAATTGACAAGTGGCTAAGATTTAATGCATTGTTCTAAAATACTTTCAAGTCACCTCCTATTTTCATACAATGAAGATCAACTTACTCAGCAAACCATGAAAATTTTTATTTCGCTGTAGGACCATAAAAGACATATTTTACATATGCCTATATTTGTAAATATATGTATCCATACACATTTACATGTATATACATGTAAAATATTGGTGTGGGTTAACCCTGCTTAGCAACTAAGCACCACAAAGCCAATCACTCGTTCACTCATTTCTCCCCTTCACCCCTGGAGGGGGAAGAGGAAAGGCAAAAAAACTTGTGGTCATGTAAAGTTGTTTAGTAAGCAAAGGAAGAGTGGGAGAAGAGAGAAAGAAAACAATGCAAAAGAAATCACTCACCACCTCCCACAGGTAGACCTGTGCCCAGGCAGTTCCTGAGCAAAAGATAGCTAACCTCACTGAACCCCCACCTCCTGAAGTTTTCCCTCTTTATTGCTGAGCTTGACATTATAGGATAGAATAGAATCATTAAGGTTGGAAAAGACCTCAAGGATCATCAAGTCCAACCCAACACCACCTAACTCATTAAACCATGTCCCTTAGCACCACATCTACACGTTTCTTGAACCCCTCCAGGGATGGTGACTCCACCACTCCCCTGGGCAGCCTGTTCCAATGCCTGAGCACTCTTTCAGTGAAGAAATTTTTCCTAATATCCAGCCTAAACCTTCCTGGTGCAACTTGAGGCCATTTCCTCTTGTACTCTCACTTGTTACTTTAGAGAAGAGGCCAGCACCCACCTCACTACAACCTCCTTTCAGGCAGTTGTAGAGAGTGATAAGGTCTCCTCTCAGCCTCCTCTTCTCTAGACTAAACAACCCCAGCTCCCTCAGCAGCTCCTCATAAGACCTGTGCTCCAGACCCTTCACCAGCTTCGTTGCCCTTCTCTGGACCTGCTCCAGCACCTCAATGTCCTTCTTGTGGTCAGGGGCCCAAAACTGAACACAGGATTCAAGGTGCGGCCTCACCAGGGCTGAGTACAGGGGCACAATCCCTTCCCTCATCCTGCTGGCCACACTATTCCTGACACAAGCCAGGGTGCCGTTGGCCTTCTTGGCCACTTCTGGGCACGCTGCTAGCTCATGTTCAGCTGGCTCTCAACCAGCACCCCCAGGTGCATTATATGATCTCATGGAACAGTTATCATATCATTGTCTGCTAGTGCAAAGAATCTATTATAAAATTATTTTCCTCTGTGTACTAAGTGAAGCTTTTCCTACGAAGAAAAAAACCAAGATCTTTCAATCTTTCTTATTGTTCTTCACTAACCCCCTCCATTAACTATCTGTCCAATACAATACTCCAGAAGCACTCCAGCAGAAATACCCCATTGTTCCTACACCAATGGCTCATGTTAGCCCTTTTAGACAACTGCACAGGGAGTTCATTGTCCTGCAGACCACTGGCTGTAACTACCAATTTTTATTTTTTTTTGAGTGAGATTCAATTAGCAGATAACAGCCACTTACATTTAGGTGACCACAGCTGAAACTCCCATTGCAGTCAACCAAGGCTGGTTGGTTTTGAGCCATGAGACCTCATGGAACTATTCAAGCAACTAGACAATAAGCTGGAGATGAAGGTAACAAATCAACTGGCCCCACTGACTACATTTGGAGCTCAGACATCTAGACCACATGCAAAGCCTCAGTTCCAAATGAAATTCTGCACCTTTTTGTTTCCAGATCCGACCCTTTATATTTTGCAACATTAAAGCACACTCTTGCTTAATTTGCCAAAAGCCCAGATTTTTTTGTATTTATGTCACAATACACTGTTTCTTTAAATCTCTGTTATTTCTATTAATAATGATTTTTGGTTTCCCTGGGCTAATGCATAAAAAAAGCAATAGCCACATCAGGACAACTGATCACATTGTACCTTATTGAACTATGATTATTATCCATTGGTTGGCTCTCAAAGTTAAGTGTACTGTGAAGTAGGTTTTAATACATTTAATGTACTGGGTTTTGTAACATTCTAGCTTCTTGATAAACAACATTGGTAGCAAGTCAAATGCCTTCAGACATTTATTGCATCAGCACTACCTCCACAATCATTCTCAGCAAAAGGTGCTGTCATCACGATATACCATCCAAAAAGCAATTGTCCAGAAGAGCAGAATGACAAAAATGGCCAAAGAGAGATTAACAAAAAAAAGTTACACTTGATCTGTAAACTGAATGCAGGACCTGGTTATCTTATCTAGGCACAAAGGTACCCTTTTAAGTCCTTTGACAGTTTTCTATGACATGCTGCAACACATTAAAGGCTCAATGAACTTTTAAAATCTAGCTGCAAAACAGTGGAGACACGCTAGTTTTTTAAAAAAATAATTTTTTTTTCCTAGTCATTGATGGAATGAAACATTACCATGGGACATGGACATCCAGCCCCTCAATTACCCTCCTCAAATATGCAGAAAAGCAATTTCGAGCTTTTTGACATCAGGTAACAGGTGATTGTACAGACCATTTTATCCTTAACATACATGAAAATTAATTTTTTTGTCCTTATTCAGGTAGAATGCTATTCTGAAGGTTGGTGCCAAAGATGCTGAGGCTCACAGTGTCCAACACCAGCAATTCAGCTTCTTGCTCAATGGTTGTGCTGTGTTCCTCCCCGCTTCCCCAACTTGTGCAAAGTAAACTCGGAATTTCTCCCATATGTAGTCACTACTATGGATAGCACTAAATGCACTGATAGTGTACTAGAGAGGCCCCTTTAATCATAAGTACTAGAGTTAGAAACTAATGCAACTGCATCCTCAGAACAGAGCAGGCTGATCACCTTGTTTAAGCACCACAACACATCCAAGTTTCATAAGGCAGAGGGATATTAGAACGAGTGAGACTCCAGAGGAGGAGTTCCTCCCCCTTACCACCACCTTCTCCATCGTACAACAGATCAGAAAAGTATTGCAGTTCAGTTCCACCAGCTCAGAAGTTTTGAGGAACACATTTCTTATTTATGTGCTCCGTTTTCTAAAAGGTACCGGCAAGGGAAAGGGTGTGCCTGTTGGCTGTGGTGTAGACTAACTTGTCCAGAGAACAAACCAGCAGCTGCATCCCTGTCCTTCTATGTTTGTAAAGTGAAGTGTTTGTGAACAGAATGTTTCCTGAGATATGCTTTTCTCCCAGGTGGAAAGAAAAGCCTATTAAAGAAGCTAACATAGGTCAAAGTTTTTTTAAACTCTATGTACAGTAAGAAGCTCTTTCTAGTTGAGACAGGCAGAAGTAGCTGAAGAGGCATGGCCATTTTTGCTACTAGTAATAAGGCATATGGATATACCTTGCAAAAATAAAGTATAACTCAAATGTCTGAGGCACATCCACAACCACAGAGAGTTTACAAAAACAATTCCTTAAAAAAAAAATTTAAAAGAGGTACTTCACCACTTTGCTTAATTAGCTCAACAGGCTGATGTTTCTATGAAGGCTCCATTTACTTTTAAGACAACTCATTCCCCAGTATGTGGATTTTTACTCCAAAGGTTGAAAATGATAAAAGTTCAAGGCAGTAACCAAATGCACTAATCCACGCAGGAAAGAAAACAAGCCTCATATCAACTTTACACTGCTGCAGCATTTTTAAGTAATTGTGCTCAGGTACTGCTGATTCTCTTCTAGTTTTTAACTGAAGAAATGCTGCTTCCTGAACTCTCAGAGCAATGTTACCTTCTCGCACTTCTGTGTCACAAGAGATAGTGAACAACCAGTATTTTGAGCACCCTTGAGTGATATCAACTCACAGATTTCCCCTTCTGTCATATATAAAAATAAGTGAATTGGTAAACATGTAGAACAACTAGCATGGAGCAGAACAGAGGAAGCTCAAGTGCCAAAGTGAATGTAGGGTACCTAACAGGGATGACCTCATCTGTTGAGAAGAGCAGATGGCAGTATTAAGGAAAAGCCTTCCAGCCTTCCTAATCACAGCTTATTGGCATCAGTCAACACTCTTTTGCTTCTCAAGACAGATGTTGCATTCTCAGGCAGAATACAATTTTTTAAAGTATCAGCTTAGAAAAACCAGGACAACATACATAGTTCACAAGGGTCATAATACAGAAATTATTGTTTTGGGTTTTTTTTTAATGCATTAACTAATACGCAATTCAGTCAATTAAATAAGTGCTCAATGCAGTGCCCTGCTTCCTTACAGAATATACTTATCCTGTTGTGGTAGGCTTCTCACTATAAGAAAACAGAAGCATTAACAATATGTAGGTAAACAAAAGAATAGGAGCTTTCCCCAGCCTTTGCCTCTATATGCATCAACTGCTGAAGAGTTCAAGAGTTCCAACGTTCTCGTTAATTTGAGAGCGCAACTACTCAGATCAAGTGAAAATCCTCAGAGTTAGGAATTTCTAGGTATTCTGTAAAATTACATGCATACCTACACACACACACACACATATATATATACACATATGAAATATATGTATATCTACCTATGAAAGACTAGTTTAACAAATTAAAAATCCGAAGTCAAATACTTAGA